CTCCGGACCCCTGGCCTTACAGCCCGGTGTGGTGGGGGTCAGCAGCTAGACACAGCTGCAGGAGAGGTCCTCGGGTCAAGTGGGTGCAGGGGCCTGCTGGGTGTCTTACCCTGGTCCCCACCCTCAGATGGGGCCCCTGAGGGTGTGTCTCAGACCTGGGCCGCTGGGGGCAGGGGTCAGCCCCTTCCCAGGAAACCCAGGACTCCCACAGGTTGGCCCCTCTGGGTTCTGGCTAGGCCCCCACCAGGCAAAGGCCACCTGTCCTCCAGGTGGGCCTGGCATTTTGTCCACGCCTGTCCCTGCGGCAGGGCCATGGGGATGGAGTTGGGGACAGACTTCCTGGGGCATGTACAGCACTGTACATCGTCCTGCCTGCCCACCCCTGGGGCCTGCAGCCCTCATCCACGGCCAGCAAAGGTCCCTGGCTGGGTTCTCGGGGACTCCCCACTCCCATTTAAAGGTGCCATGGACACCCAGTCAGGCCAAGTGCTGCCAATGAAGGACCAGGGATAAAGAACCTGCCTTGGGCATGTGTGTGGTGGGGACAGACTGGGGCTGATGCTGGGGCCTATGCTGGGCTTCTGGCTGCCCGCTTCCACCCAGAGGCTCAGGACTTTCAGATGGCCAGTGCTCTTGGCATGCTCCTGGGTCCCCCTGTCCCTCTGGGTGGTTCTGGCTTCCTTTCTGGCTGGCCCCAGGTCCCCCTCTCCCCTCTGGACAGTCTCGGTCTCTTTTGGGTGGTTCTGGATCCCTTTCTGGGTGGTTTTGTGTCTCCTCTGGGTAGTTCTGGGTCCCCTCTGGATGGTTCTGGAACCCCTTCTGGGTGGTCCCAGGTCCCCCTCTCCCTCTGGACAGTTCTGGATCGCCTCTGGGCAGTCCTGGGTCCCCTCTGGCTGGTTCTGTGTCCCTTTCTGGGTGGTCCCAGGTCCCCCTCTCCCTCTGGACAGTTCTGGATCCCTTTCTGGGTCTCCTCTGGGTGGTTCTGGATCCGTTTCTGGGTGGTTTTGTGTCTCCTCTGGGTAGTTCTGGGTCCCCTCTGGATGGTTCTGGAACCCCTTCTGGGTGGTCCCAGGTCCCCCGCTCCCCTATGGAAAGTTCTGGATCTCCTCTGTGCAGTCCTGGGTCTCCTCTGGCTGGTTCTGGGTCCCTTTCTGGGTGGCCTGGATCCCCCTGTCCCTCTGGGTGGTTCTGATCCCTTTCTGGTGGCAAGGGGTCCCTCTGGCTGGTTCTGGGTCCCTTTCTGGGTGGCCCCGGGTCCCCCTGTCCCTCTGGGTGGTTCTGTTCCCTTTCTGGGTGGCAAAGGGTCCCTCTGGCTGGTTCTGGGTCCCTTTCTGGGTGGCCCTGGGTCCCCCTGTCCCTTTGGGTGGTTCTGGATCCCTTTCTGGGTGATCCCAAGTCCCCCACTCCCCTCTGGAAAGTTCTGGATCTCCTCTGGACAGTCCTGGGTCCATTCTGGCTGGTTCTGGGCCCCTTTCTGGGTGGCCCTGGGTCCCCCTGTCCCTCTGGCTGGTTCTGGGTCCCTTTCTGGGTGGCCCCAGCTCCCTTCGAGGTGGTCTTGGATGACCCTCTGGGTGGTCCTGGGTCTCCTGGGCTCCTTCCTGTCTTGTACTCCAGGATGCTAGTCTGAGCAAGGATCCCCACCAGGTGGGGTCCCGGCCCCACCCACATCATTGCTGCCCCCCCACCCCCACAGCTGGCCACCCAGAGCCTCTGCCCTTTGCCTCCCTGGGGCTGGGGGTGAAACCAAATCCCAGGCAGTGACACCCGGGCTATTTTGGAGCTGGGCTGGGCTGGGCTGGCCGGCTGTGGGGGCGGGCCCAGCCTTCTCCAGCTGACAGCATCGGCCTGTCCTTTCGTCCCCAACCAGTCTGAGGACCGGCCAGAGAGTGGGCTGCTGGGTGGGAGCTGTGTCAGTCCTGGACCCGTGGCAGGAGGTGAGACCCAGCAGCCCCTGCTCCTTCAGCTGCGCCCCACGCCTGGGTGCTGCTCCCAGCCTCCCGTAGAGACAGGTGAGCAGGCGGAGCGGGCAGGGTGGGGGGCCATCCCAGGTCGAGCCCCTCTCCTCCAGGGCTGTTTGGTTGAAGGTCAGGGCTCTGGGGTGCAGAGGACCTGGGGAGGGGTGTCCAGCCAGGCTGTGTAGCTCCAAGGGTTGGAGCTCTGGAATCCAGCCCCTGACACCATGGTGACCTGAGCTGGGCCCTCATGCGGGGGGTGGGAGGCGGGGGGCCGGGGGGCACATCCACCTCCTCCTTCGTGGCCCCTTGCTCTAAGGGAGGCCTGGGGGTCTGGCCAGCCCTGCCCCCATCTCTGCTGAGATGGATGCCCGCTGACAGCTGGGGCTATTTTGGGCCTGTTGGCTCAGCAGAGGGGACAGCCAGAGGGGCACTGACACCTGACTCCAGGAAAGAATTTCCCCGGGAGTTCGGGAAGCCGCCAGGCCAGGGGTCTAGGGGGAGGTGCAGACTCCAGGAGCCGCGGGTGGAAGTCTTTTCTGGAAGGGTTGGGGTGGGGCAGCAGGGGCTCCCAGGAGGGGACCAAGGTTCTTCAGTCAGGCTGCAAGCCACTTCCCACTTGGCCCTATGAGGAGGACCCAAGATGGGCCAAGCTCTAGAAAACCAAGGATGGAGGCTGTGCGCAGGGCTTGGGTCAGCCCTAGGGACTCCGAGGCTCCAGAGGCATGACCCCAGATGGAGGTGGGGAGGTCATGGTCTCCTTGTGGAAGGAGGCTCCTGCCAGTGGCAAGTTGGGGCCTCCAAGGAATGAGGAGTCCACTCTGAAGAAGGAAGGGGCTTCCCTGGGAGGCTGGGGCTGAGGTCCTGGCCAGGTGTCCCCTCCTGAGCCTCCTGCCTCACTGCTGCATGTACAAGTCCAGTGGGAGTTCTGGGGGCCCCCAGAGGGTGCCCCCCTTTGGCCTGAAGGAGTGTGGCTCTGGAGTCCTTGGGCCAGCATTTAGGGCACCGTGGCTCTGTGGGCCAGTGGGGATGCCTACCCAGAGGTGGTTGAGTGTGTGGGAGCCCCCAGGTCTCATGGGTCTGCTGCATTGAGGTGGGGAGCCCAGGCCCTTCACCAGGGCGCCAGGCATCAGGACCATCCCTGGGGGTCTGAGAAGATCTTGGGGTCTCTGCCCATCCTTCCCAGGCCAGGCCTCAGCCTGTCACCTGCCAAGGTCCTGGGCTGGTTTCCCCTAAGCACATGCAGTGATGGGAACTCCCTCTCCAGTCCCTGCCCTCCTGGCCCCCAGAGACCACCAGCTGTGGAGGTGGCCCTCTGCCCCTGCCCGCTCATGGAGCACCTTGCTCCCATACCTGCACCTGGAGTGGTGGGGGTGAGGATGCAGTGTCCTGCCTCAGGGGTACCCACAGACCAACGGTGATTGAGGAGGGGGGCACTGGGAGCTCAGAGCTCAGGGCCTCTGGAGACCTGGAGTCAGAGTAACCCTTCCCCAGAGGGACACCAAGGCCCAGGAGGGCGTCCATGGAGGTGGGGCTCGGGTGGCCGCCCGCCCAGGGCCTCCCAGCCCCAGAACTTGGCCAGGCAGTGGGGGACAGGGGACAGAGGTGCTGACTGCACAGTGAGTCAGCAGGCTGGTGCGGGCTCACCTCCTCGAGGGGGATTAAGGGGGATTAGGCCCTGAATCACAGGACGGGAGCCTGAGGGCCCAGAGCGTCACCCCACTTGTCCCCCAGTGGGCAGCCCATGCTGGAAGCCCAGCCCTGGCTTGGGGAGGGAGTTAAGGCGCTTGGTGCCAGCCCTGAGCCCGGGGGTCTGCTGTTCTTACAGAAGGGGGGGGTAGGCCAGGCCCATGCTCACCTTACCCACCTGTGCTAAAGGCCAGCCAGGGCCTGCAGGGGATAGGCAGAGGCCAGCCACCTGGGGCCTTTAGTATGAGGGGTGCCAACCTGTCCCCACAGGGTCCTCCCAGCCAGTGGAGACACAAAGTCTGTAGAGTGACAAGGCCCGGCCAGTCGACCTGGCCAGTCTCAGCCCGACGTCCCTGGTTCTTCCCAGGGGACTCTCCACCTGTCCTCCCTGGGCTGACTATGTGCCGTCCCCCGGGGAGGAGCGGCTGCTCCCAGCAAGCGGGTGTGGGCAGCTCTTTGGGCTTGGGGCAGGCTTGTAAGGAGTCCACCTCGCAGCAGGGTGTCCGGTCTCCCTGCTCATCAGGGTTGAGGCCAGGTGGGAACCCTGGAGAGGAGCTGATGGGCCCAGTACACGGGACTTTTGTCGGGGGTGCTGCCAGGGGCGGGGAGAGCTGAGGTGCACAGAGCCAGAAGTGTGGCTTCGGAGGTTGAGTCACCTGGAGGAGGAAGGGGCAGGGGCTCAAAGAGGAGCCTTCTGGGATGGAGAACCAGTGACCTCCGGGGCACCGCACTCAGAGAGGGATGAGCCAGCGGCAGGCACCTCCCTTGGCCAGTCCCTGTCCAGGTTCAGGGAGCTGCCTCCTCTTTGAGTAGGGGAGACAGGCAGATCAGAGTTTCAGACTCCAGGAGTCAGCGGTGTGTGGGGAAGGGGGACTGGTCACCCAAAGGCAGCTGGAGGTGGGGCGGGGAACACACATACAGAGGCAGGTCTGTGTGGAGAGGTACAGCGTGGCCCCCAGGTAGGGAGGCCGAACAGAGAGGGGGACCAGCCAGGTTGCTGTGTGGTGTTTTGGGACAGGTGCTCAACTGGACCTGGAGTTGGGGTGTGGGGCTAGAGCTGGAGGGACAGGAAGGAGATACACCCACCTGTTAGAAAAGCCTGTTGTTGGGGGTGGGGTGTGTGTGGCACCAGACTCCAAATGCCCAGAAGGGGGCAAATCTGAGTTTCTGGACCTGGGGGTGGGGGGAGATGAAGCGGTGGGGGGGGGGCGCGTCCACCCTGGGTCAGGCTGGGTTCTTCAGGAGGAACTGGCCAGGTGGGGCACAGGTGGGGGACTCTAACAGTACCTGGGTCTCATCCCCACTATGACCTTCCCCCAACCCGCTCACAGGTCCCTCTCGCCGCCCCCACCCCCCACCATGGATCACTCATTCAGCGGGGCACCCCGATTTCTGACCCGACCCAAGGCCTTCGTGGTGTCGGTGGGCAAGGACGCCACGCTGAGCTGCCAGATCGTGGGCAACCCTACGCCGCACGTGAGCTGGGAGAAGGACCAGCAGCCCGTAGAGGCGGGCGCTCGCTTCCGCCTGGCCCAGGACGGCGACCTGTACCGTCTCACCATCCTGGACCTGGCACTGGGCGACAGCGGGCAGTATGTGTGCCGCGCGCGCAACGCCATCGGTGAGGCCTTCGCGGCTGTCGGCCTGCAGGTGGACGCGGAGGCCGCTTGCGCCGAGCAGGCACCCCATTTCCTTCTGCGGCCCACGTCCATCCGCGTGCGCGAGGGCGCGGAGGCCACCTTCCGCTGCCGCGTGCGCGGCTCGCCGCCTATGGCCGTGAGCTGGGCCAAGGACGGGCGGCGCTTAGGCGCGCCCGACGGCCCCCGAGTGCGCGTGGAGGCCAGCGGCGAGGCGAGCGCGCTGCGCATCCAGGCCGCGCGGCCCCGCGACGGCGGCACCTACACGGTGCGCGCCGAGAACCCGCTGGGCGCCGCCAGCGCCGACGCCGCGCTCACCGTGGACGCGGAGGCAGACGCTGCGGGCCCTCCCGGGGCCTCCACAGCCGCGCTTCTGGCGCACCTGCAGCGGCGGCGCGAGGCGATGCGCGCCGAGGGCGCCCCGGCCTCGCCACCCGGTTCCGGCACGCGCACCTGCACCGTGACTGAAGGCAAGCACGCGCGCCTCAGCTGCTACGTGACGGGTGAGCCTAAGCCCGAGACGGTATGGAAGAAGGATGGGCAGCTGGTGGTCGAGGGCCGGCGACACATGGTGTACGAGGACGCTCAGGAGAACTTCGTGCTCAAGATCCTCTTCTGCAAGCAGTCAGACCGGGGCCTCTACACCTGCACGGCATCCAACCTGGTGGGCCAAACCTACAGCTCCGTGCTGGTCGTCGTGCGAGGTGAGCTCGGGGTGCTGGGCGCAAGATCCCTGCGCGTGGTCGCTGCCGAGAAGCGCCTCCCCAGCCCCTCTCCCCAGTCCTTTCCGCCTGGAATGGAATCCGTCGTGGAGTCCAGAGGTAGAGGTCTTGGCGGCTCTCGCGTTTCCAGAGCCACAGAACGAGGGCGACAGCGGACGACCCTCAGCCTGTCCCATTGTGAGAGTCGCATGAGTGAATAACAAAGCGCTCTGTCCTCAGCGCCCCCTCCTCCTGGGAGATGGCCCGGGTGACCCAGGCACTCCACCTCTCTCACAGGATGCTAAGGGGGTCTCCCTGGCAGAGTGGGGGAGAAGGGTAGGGCCGGGGCTGGGGCCTCGCCAGGTTTAGCCGGAAGGCGGTTCTGCGCCAGTTTAGAGGCTCCTGTTGAGGACCCTGTAGGGGTCTGGGCCTCCCCCAGGGTTCTAGGGGAAAGCGTGGGCAACATATGAGGTTGTGTTGGCGAGGCTCCTAAGACCAGAGACCCACCTCCACTTCTGTCCCGCTGGAGGGTCTCAGGGCGCTCCAACCTTCCGTGAGCGCCACAGTACCATCAGCCCCAGCGGGTAAATGGCCCCGTTCCTCGGGGGGGGGGGGGGGGGGAGGGGCCTGCAGAAGCTGCACAAGGGAAAGTGCGCCGGGCAGCAGGGCTTGGCCCACGGCCGGCGCTCAGGGGGTTGCACGGCGGCCAGCCCTGGTCCCGCTGCCTCGCTGCTGGCGTGGCTGTGAGCGTGAGCCCTGCGGATTTTGCGGCCCGGGAGCAGCATCACTGGGCTGTTTTGGGGCTTTATGTGCCTCGTTTCCAGACATCTTCTATTTAAGGGGAGGGGGCTCTGTACGTTCTGTGCCCTCTCCCCTGCCCCCCCTTCCATCCCCCTACCTCCCTGGACTCATCCCTGCTGCACCTCTGCCTTCGCACCCAACCCCTGCCCTGGTCCCCTACCCCCACTCCAGCCCCGTACTCCGACTAACGGGAGCCGCTTGACCTTCCCTGCTTCCTGCCCTTACCCCACTCTCCGCCGCCCCACCCTCCTCCATCTCCTCCCGGCTCCTCTCCCCGGCCCACCGGCTCACGCGCCCTCACCCCGCAGAGCCCGCGGTGCCCTTCAGGAAGCGGCTCCACGACCTGGAGGTGCCGGAGAAGGAGTCGGCCACGTTCCAGTGCGAGGTGGAGCTGCCGACCACCGAGGCCGCGTGGTACAAGGAGGAGACGCGGCTGTGGGCCAGCGCCAAGTACGGCATCGAGGAGGCGGGCACCGAGCGCCGGCTGACCGTGCGCAACGTCTCGGCCGACGACGACGCTGTCTACATCTGCGAGACTGCGGAGGGCAGCCGCACGGTGGCGGAGCTCGCGGTGCAAGGTGGGCTGGGGTCGCGCGGGGCTGGGGTGGGGAAGGGGAGGGAAGGGGCAGGACCGGCTGGAGAGGAGCGCGGAGGAGCGGCGGGGCAGAGGCCGTG